CTCTTGGAGCCTTGGAGCTGATGTAGTGACCACCCATTTGATGCCCGACATCTACTACGGCTGGCCTGCCAGGAATGTCGTGTCGCCAATGTTCTGGAGGTTCTGCAGGCTTGGGGATTCAATCCCAATTGCCTCGGAAACATCTGACGCAGCACGTCACCGTGTTGATGGCTTTGACTCAGGTTCCCTGTTCATCTCGGAGCTTCGCAGTCTGTCCGTATTCAACTGCCATCAACTCCTGAAGGTACGTGCTGTGTTCGACCCTGCCTCCGTAAGCAAGACATAATGTCCAGGGTTCCAGATCTAAGACCTTCCTGGTTCCCTGGTCTGCCAGGGACAAACTTCTTTGTCCACATGTCTCGTCTCGAGGAGTACATTCAGTACTCTGACGCAGCCTCGCCATGGTGTAGCAATATTGTGTTCTGTGTCCTCTGCTAGTCATTGTCACCCCTTTTCTCCCTTCATTTCTCCGACTGGAAGGGCACCTGTACATAATGGTGTTTACTAGTTACATGATTGTACTGTATGTCAGGCACTCCGCGAGATGCCAGTTCCTTCACTCCACATCCGCGATTCTCCTTCGTGCAGAACGCTTGGCTACGCCCTTGGTTGAGTTGGTGGATCACTTTCAAAGTCACACTGTCACATTCGATGCCGAAGCTCCGAAGTGTAATCGCAGATTCCACTAGGACCCGCAGGGTCCGACGTGGAATCGGGGTTACACCAGGAGTGAAGGCGAAATATGTGACAGTGTGTTCCCGCCTGTTGTGCTGGTGTCACCCACCCCTCACTATCTCTACTCTTGATTGCGCTATCTTTTTGGTATCTCAGAAAAGGTCAAAGAAAGCAGGAGGTTTGTAAGAAAGAAAAAGGACCAAGGGACTACAAGTTACGCTATAATGTCACTAACACCACCAGCTCCTACTAGTACTAGTTTTCCTGGATTGCAGTAATGTTGCGTTTTCTATTGTTTCCCTTTTTTATACTTCCATTTATTTTTATTTTTTGTTGTTCTCGGCGTGCCAAAGTCTCAGCGTGAATCATTTATGCATACGTTGCATCTTTCAAAGCATTCATCTAGGGATTGAGTTGAATCTTTTACACAACCTTCAGCTGTTACATTTGCCTTGAGTTTCTTTAGATTAGACTTTTTCAAATTTTCATTTTGATTTCATCGTCGAGTTTCATCCCTTGAATCTTTGTTCAGGTTTTTACCGTACCGTTTCTATGGTTGTAGCCAATGAGCGACGTTCCCGCGGTGGCCTTGATGAGCCGATAAAGCCCGTGGTCAATGGATACGGAAAAATACGGTAGCAATAAAGCCCGTCGTCAATGGCACCCCGTACTCTGTCAGCCTAGCTCTGCAGGGGTCTGTGGCAGTTTTTCGTTGTCAGCTCAGTTCGCACCTCACATTCGACTGTGAACATGCTCTGGTACCTGGAAACAGCCTGTCCGAAAACGGCAACATGAAAAGTGTCTACACATCGTGGTCAGTTTTCAACTCAAGTTCTTGTTGTCGTGAGTGGAGCTGAAATTTTACGATAGTTGTGAATAAGCGAAAGAGCATGCACCCATCTATCTGCTAAGAACCAAGCTGAAATAAGTGGCAAACATCGCGATCAGTTTTCCACTTTCTGTTCTACATGTACTGGTACCAAAAAAGGAGTTGACGAGTTGCCGAACTTTTCTGATAATTTTGAGGAAGCGAAAGATCATGGACCCGATCATTTTTTTTTTTTTTTATTTACTTGAAAAAGCACATAACCACCAGGAAAGCTGACAAAGAAAAAAGAGTAAGAAAAGACAGATAAAAAGAGATCATCCCATCCATGAGAAGCAGACGGACCTGAAACTCACAAGCTGAAGGAGCTGAAACTCACAAGCTGAATCCACCACGTCCCCGACCACCACCCCTATACGTGTCTTGCTTTTATACCAGAAAAGCGAAAGACAAAACCTGAAACACCATCATAGAGCCTGGCAGGACTTTTCGCCTTCATCAAGGCCTCGTGCGTACGGCCGCGGGCGCAGGCCTCGGCGCTACGCGCCTTGGCCTGCGCCCTTGGCCGTACGCACTCGGCCTTGATTCAGCCGTAAAGTCCTGCCAGACCTCTATAGTCCTAGGGCCCATTTGAAATTTCTCACTTTTACTTGACACATGTTTGCTAACATGGATTTTATGATCATTCCTGGATGGTTTTTGCCTCCTGAACACGATGGCATAGGTTTCGATTGCCGAATTGTGTCCGAACATGGTGAAAAACGCCAAAATAGAAAAGGCCGTTATTACCATGGCAACCTAACTAGAATTGCTCCTATATCCATTTTCACTGGCACGTATACGGCCAAGTAGCACCTCATTTTGCTCAGAATAAGCAGTAGATACAGTACGGCAACAAGTACTGTACTTTTACAGTGTCAAAACAAATTTCCAAAGTGCAGTGAAACTTGGCTATTGGACATGTACAATCATGTACATTACATGTCGCGTCGAATGTTAGCATTGAGGTACGTGTACATGTATATGCAGCTAGCAGGTACTAGTACATGAGACTATTTACAGGCATGCATTACTATAATTATCAGACTGCAAACACGTGAGAAGTGTCAAACGGTTCGGCGTTAAACTTCAACTGAGAGAATAGGTATTGTAACCCAAGTACTGACAGGAGAAGGAAAAGGTGGTAGGAAACTCTCGGAGTCTAAGGAACGAAGTGCTATAGCCTATAGGACAGTTGCAACCTGAACTAATTTACTCGAAGTACATGTAGATAATACGATAGATCTCGCAGCAATGTAAGAAGGACAACACTACTTATATGCGATGGCAGTGCTGTAAAGAAAAAATGATGAAAATGAAAATACCAAAATCCTTTGCATACTAGTAGATAAACAGTCCAAACATTGGCTAGCTTGTCACTATACATAAATGCTTTGAAAATACCTCACGGCTGCAGTTGGACAACACTCACATGTGAATAGCTGCAGTTTAAAAAGCTGATCGATCTCAACATTGTGATGCAAATACTTTCGCTTCCATGTGTTTCACTTTAAGTTTAACTGAAGTTGTTCTTCCGTCTGAGCTTTGGAAACTCTACGCCGTACAGCTGAGCCCATCTCTACTCCGCCACCTACACCATCACTGTTTGCTCTGCAGTCAGGGACAATTCTTTAGCCACTAATACATGAGGTATTATAAACATGTTTTCCCTCTTCACCGCCGCTCGTGAATCGCATCAACTACGTGCCGTGACCAGTTCAGGAGAGACAAGCCATGACATTGGACATCGGACTCTTTCTTGCAGTTAGTGTTTTATAAGTATAACTGCAGTTTCACACTGCCTAGGCCCAGCCATCAAATTCTGTGACAAGGAAATGATTCTTCTACTGCTGGTGTTGCATATTGTGATAGGTTACCTCCAGGTCCTCGGATTTCATTTTGTAACACTCCGGATCCACACCACATAGCTACTCCCTCTCACTGCAGCATGCCACTCCTAAGCCAAGGCAGTTGTCCTGGAGCTGTTGAACTGGTAAATCGGCTTTGTGCAAATGGTAGCTGATCACCACGGTCGGTGTGTTCAAATCTTGGTACTAACACTAGCCGCTCTTGTAGATTCGAGTCAAATGCTCGTCCACTGTAACACCTCCTGTGCAGCAGTACTCACAAAGTAAATGCCTTCATTCCACCCAGATGAAGTTAGCCAGGTCTGAAACTTTCCACGGTTGTAGATTAGTCCTATGAATAGTTACAACTGGCTTGGCAAGCTATGATGACTTTCCCCTGCTTTCCACACATAATTGTTGTGCTGCTCCTTGTTGGAATCATGCCTACTTTTCCGGGGAGCCAAGATGACATTGTAATGAAGGTTCTGCTGAATTCAGCATCGATCAATTCGTGGACATTCCGACAGCAAAAGCGCGAGCGAGTCAATGCAAAACTTTGAAGAAAGTGTCCAAACGAGTAGGTAACACATTTCTGGTATGTCACAACTACACTACTTGATGCTCAATCTTTCCAACTCTCGCACAAAATCAGTGTACGCGTCGGTTCGCATCCTGTGTATGTACGGTGTTACTATAGCTCCTGGCACATAAAAGGGTAAAAACTCCCAGGTCCAGTCAATATAGTACCGAGAAAGTCTTGAAAATGCTTGAATACAGCCGATGAGAACTTAGTTTTTTCGGCAATTTTGTATTCCTATCGAGGGTGATTTCGGGACCTTTGGACGCGATTGGACACACCATACTGGGCCAAGATGCTCTTGAAGACATTATCTATCAAATAACACCGAAAAATCCTTGTTAGCCAACATGTGTCAAGGCATGTATTTTAGAGGTCGATTTTTTGAATTGGCCCCAGTACTACTATGATTGTCTACGTTTTCTTCCTTCTTTCCATGTCGTATTGTTTGAATAAACCCGTTTGGTAGTATTGGATTATCTAATACCACACTACTAGTACATGCACTAGGTAGGGGCAAGAGTCCATGGTTTTCATGTACTCTTGGTAGGGGTATGCGGATTATGCCGGTGTACTATAGTAGAATGACCCCCCAGCAGATGGACCCCCCGGGCATTGTACTATATAGTAGAGTGACCCCGGGGTCACTCTACTATTATAGTACAATGCCCGGGGGTCGTTCTACTATATTAGATTGCCCCCTGTCATTCTACTACAGAGTCCACCAGACTTGTCGTTTCGCACGTGCAGGTAGAAAGGGATGGAGTTTACACCACAGATTCCACGTGGACATTATGGATTGTGGCAAGAGTCCGGGGTTATGTACTCTTGATTGTGGGAATATGTGGTGAAAAGTCCACAACATTGGTACATAGGTCGCGCACTTTTCCTCTTTAGGAGACATGAACATCCCACCTTGTGTTGGATTGTTTTTGTTTTGGAGTTGGAAGAAAGTTTGCAAGTTCAGTGTTCCTTTGCGTTTTCTGTGTGCTCCTTGCTCCTTTTGGATTATTGTGTGTGTGATAGGTGCATTGATATTAAAACAGAGAGGTTCCAGGCTGTCCAAGAGAGTGCTCAATACCGAGTGGTAGAGCAACAAAAGCAAAAGGTGCAACCTGTGCCTGGCAGAGAAATTGGCAATCGCGCAAGCACCCAAGCACCTCTCTCTCAACAAAAGGAGTGAGCTTGTGTCGAAGTGTCGCCATGAGAATAGGTACTACCTTCGGAACTTTAAACCAGCTACAGGAGTTCACGGACCTCTACTAAAATAGCGGCCGAGGGGGGTCGTTGTACTATATAGTAGAGTGACCCCGGGGGCAATCTACTATATAGTACAACATATAGGCCAGGAGTTGCCCCGCACCTCGAACAGCTGGAGTCCACCATCTCCGAGTCGTTTATTCCCGCTCTTCTTGGTCGTCCCCAGCCCGGAGAGACGGAACGCCAAGTTCTCGCGCTCCCAAGCCGCTACGTCTACGGAGGCATGGGGATTGTCTCCCCAGTATCTCTTGTGAACCAATTTCCTTCCTCACTTACGATCACCGAGAGCTTAGTTCAGCGCATTTTGAACCAGGATACACCGCCACAGGAGGAGGCGGACAACACCAGGGCAGCCAAAGCTAAAGCCAGGGCAGACGCCAGAAAGAAGGAGCAGCGTCATGCCAAGGAGGTGTACGATGGCGTGGATGGAGACCTGCAGAGGTCCATGGATCTTGCGGCCGAAAAGGGTGCGTCGAACTGGCTCACCTGTCGACCACTCAAGCAGCATGGGTTCTCGCTACACAAGGGCGCGTTTCGAGATGCTGTCTGCCTCCGCTACGGGTGGACTCCGCCCCATCTCCCCCAGAGCTGTGCCTGTGGAGCTGCCTTCACTGTCCCGCACGCCTTGTCTTGCCCAGTAGGTGGCTATCCGTCTCTGCGGCACAACGAGCTGCGGGACTTGACCGCTACCATGCTCACATCAGCAGCTCATGATATCAGCATTGAGCCACGCCTTCAGCCGTTATCTGGTGAGAATTTTCATCACCGGACGGCTATCCGTGAGGATGGTGCCAGGCTGGATGTTGCTGCCAGCGGGGTATGGGGTGGCCGGTTTGAGCGAGCTTTCTTTGATATTCGGGTGTTCAACCCTCATGCTCGTTCGAACTCGGTCCACTCCATCCCCGCCGCATACGCAAAGCATGAGCGTGAGAAGCGTCGGCATTATGAGGAGCGTGTTCGTGAGGTGGAGCATGCCACCTTCGTTCCCCTCGTATTCAGTG